CTTATATACCACGGAGCCCCGGTAATTTAACGAAGGATTTTCGATTTAGTACGCTGAATTAACTCAATGTTGGAGGAACATGCATTACCTCATAGCTCAGCGCCATACTTCCAAATTGGCTTAAGTAAACTATTATAGAGCAACACTTTGTGGTTTAGCTGTGACTTGGAATTTTTGTTCAATAACCAGTGAAATTTTTGTGCCTTTAGTTTTATTTGCGTTCGCTTAGCCTCTAGATGTTTACGCCAAGTTAGTGTCCTATCCAAATGAACACCCAGATACGATACGGTGTTTGATTGCGGAATGGTGATGCCGTTGAAGGTTACATGTTACATGTGTGCTCTTACTTTCATTTACGCGAATGCGCCAGTTGGCTAACCATGTTTCAATGAGTTCGAGGTGTTCAATTAAGTCCCTAGATGCTATGAATCGATTTTGGTGAGAACTAAGGACAGCAGTGTCATCAGCAAACGTAGAAGTCACAAGACGAGGATATAAAGTATTGGACCTAGAACACTGCCTTGAGGAACTCCAGCCTTTATGTCAAGATTAGCTGTTGTATGGCTTCCAACTTTTATATGGAATTTCCTGTCCTGAAGATATGACTCTAGTATTTTGTGAGTGTAGTCAGGAGTGAGTTCCTTGATTTTATAAATAAGTTCAGCGTGCCAAACCTTGTCAAAAGCTTGTGCTATATCAAAAAATATAGCAGAGCAGAATTTTTTATCTTCAAATGCTTTCTTAATCTCATTTGTTATGCGATTCACTTGCTCGATGGTGCCATGTTTGGCTCGAAAACCAAATTGGTGGTGAGGTATTATGTTGTTTTGCTGTAGATATGTTGTTATCTTCCCGAGAAGCATTCGTTCAAAAAGTTTCGACAGCATTGGTAAAAGACTTATGGGTCTATATGAAGACGGTAAAGTTAAGTTTTTTCCCGGTTTAAAAATCATTATTTGTGAAATGATCCAACTTTGAGGAAAGTACCCAAGTCGAAGTAAATATTTTTGTCATTGTTTTGAAAGGTATTTGAGGTAACTCTATTAGCATTTTAGCTGAAATGTGGTCATATTCCGGGGACATGTTGACACATAATTGGGTTTTTGCAATATGCTGGATCTGTTTGGTTTTGAGTTTGAGATGTCCATATCTGACTAGAGGAGATTGAATTGGTAGTGCAAAGTTATTAGTCGGAGGGTTTGGTTGAAATACCTGGCTTAAATGATCTGCGAACACATTTGCTTTACCTACTTCATCTCTAGCCCATTTCCCATCGGCTTGCCTGAGTGGTGGTACACTCTCCTTAGGTGTTTTTAATTTCCTTACCGATCGCCATAGGGAATAGTTAGTCCTTTCTGTAGGTGTTAACTTTCGTACGTAAGTGTTGAAACTATTTTCCATCTTTATGAACTTGAATTTACTTGTAGGTGATCTGTGCTTTTGCCACATCCGTCTCAGATGTTTGTTTTCTCTGACGATATTTTCAATTGCATCTGAAGACTTTCTTGTAGATCTAGTGAATGTTATCTCGTCAGTGGGAGTAGCGTGCCGATTTTAAAACTGAGTTAAATGCATTGAGAGCCAAATCGATTTCACTTACACATTGTAGAGATGGGTTTATATCTAAGTGACTACTAATATATCATAGTATAATATATATATAGCCAATTGGTTTTCTTTGACGTCAGTTTTGATGCACTTTGGTTGTTTTTAGGTGTTTTGAATAAGTTTATAATAACTAAAAAGTGATCGGATAATAGTTCGAAGCTAGAATGCGCAGTTATTAGTTCGCGGTCAATGTTTTTCACTATACAAAAGTCGATTAGATCTGGAATTTTTTTGAGGTCAGATGGCCAGTAAGTGGGTTGTCCTGATGATATGAAATCTAAATTGTTGCGGCGATTTGTAAGAGTAGAGTAGAGTTGCTTTCCTTTTGGTTTTATTAGACGGGAAGCTCAATATGTATGTTTGGCGTTAAAGTCTCCCGCTGGTATACATTTTTTACCGAGATAATGAAGGAAATCCACGAATTGAGCTGAGCACGACTTCATCTTCAATGAATTTTATGCAAATTGACGTATTACAGCTTGAATGTGGGCAGTGGTGTGCTGTTCTATTAATACTTGAAATACTTGAATTGATTAATACTTGAATTAATTAGAATTCCCGTTCCCCCATGAGGATTATCTTCAGGATGATTTGTGAAGTAGAAAATGAATCCAGGTACAGAGAAATTGTGATTGCTACATAGATGGGTTTCAGATATTAGAAGAACATCAATGTTGTGGGACGATAGAAAGTTTATGACTTCAAGTTTGTGATGGCGGATACCGTTGGCATTCCAGTGACACATTCTAAGACAGTTCATTTATTAGCTGAAAGAAACTGCATCATTTGATTTTGAGTTTTTACTATATCTTGCACTAATTTTTGCATAAAGGCCATAAAAATTGGAGTGACAAAAATAATAGAGGCATTATTACAACGGAAGAGGAAAGTTAGAAAACTATGGCAACGGCACAGATCCCCAAAACACAAAGTTCTAGTTGCTAAATGTACTAATGAACTCAAATATGCACTAGCGGAATGACATTAAAAATCCTTAGACAGTTTTTCATACAATTTGGCACCTAATAAATAAACTGACTATTACACTTTGGAAAGCAACAAAGTACATCAAACAGGCTATCCAGCATCAATTTCCTCTCAGACTAAAAAATGATGACTGGGCACAAAGTGATTCTGAGAAAGGGGAAAGTGACTCTCAATGCGAAAAAGGCAGCAGGACCTAATAAAATCTCAGTTGCAATGGTGAAACAGTTACCACAATGAGCGATTTTACATCTCAGGTATTTATTTAATGTTATCTTACGGACAGGTTATTATCCCAAACTTTGGAAAATGTCACAAAGAACAATGATACTTAAACTGGGAAGGACAAAACCAAAGTAGAATCTTACAGACCAATTAGCGTCCTTCCAGTTTTATCAAAAATATTTGAAAAGCTACTAATAGTAAAAATAATGCCAATACTCTCAGCTAACGAAATGAAATAATTCCGGAACATCAATTCGGCTTCAGAGCTAAACATAGTACAATTGAACAAGTGTATCATATTGTATCATTCATTAGAAACTCATTTGAAAATAAACAATACTGCACTTCTATATTTATAGATGTAGCCTAAGCGTTTGATAAAGTTGGCACGAAGGCTTAATACATAAAATTACAACACTCATGCCAGCTAAAATTTACCTTTTGTTAAAAAACGACTTAAGTAAAATAACTTTTAGTTTAACAGATAAAGATTTTGTTTTAGAACCATGTCCTATCAAAGCAGGAGTTCCCCAAGGAATGCAATAGGTCCGCTATTATTCCTACTGTATGCAAGTGATATGCCAATTTCGAAAAACGCTTTAACTGCAACATTTGCTGACGATATAGCAATACTAAGTGCACACAAAAACCCCGCAATCGCAATAAGCATGCTTTAAGATTATGTTCACAAACTCGAGCAATGGTTATCAGTATGGCGTATCAAAGTCAATGAACAAAAATGTGCCCATATCACATTTGCTCTAAGACCAGGCAACTGTCCCAATATTACAATAAATTAACAAAAAGTCCCTTCGAGCGACTATGTAAAATATTTAGGGATACATCTATATAGACGTTTAACCTGGAACAAACACATAGAGGCTAAAAAGACACAAATAAATATAATATTAAGTTCATTGTATTTGCTTATTGGCACGTCATCTAAGCTATCACTTAAATACAAAATTCCGCTATACAAGTCGATAATAAAACTTATATGGAGTTATGAAATTCAACTGTGGGGAACAGCGATGCCATCAAATATTGAAAATCTACAAAGGCTGCAATCTAAAACCCTAAGAATGATAACTGGTGCACCGTGGTTTATGAAAAATGCTAACCTTCATGGAGATTTGAGCGTACCAACAGCAATAAAAGAAGCTGCTCGATGTAGCTATCAGTACCTCTTAAAGTTAGAAGATCACCCTAATCAATCAGCTTACAAGCTGCTACTGAACAAAGGCCACAAACGTCTAAAAAAAGGACACCATTAACATCTGTTAACTTTCTAAATTTTTATTTGATTTAAAATATTATAAATTTTATTTATTTTGAATTCAATTTGATTTTTTGAATTAATTTTAAATAAATTTTAGTTTTTAATTTTAATTCTAATTTCAATTTTAATTTTAATTTTCAATCTTATTTTATTATAAATAATAAATGTCTCAATAGTTTTCTACAAAGCAATGGCTTAGAGAAATAAATAAATTTAATTTTAAGATTTGATCCATTTATTGTTAGTTTCGTTTTTAGAAACATTCAATATAAATTTTATAAATTGAAAATCAAAAAAATTCCACTTTTTGTTGCCATATATCCGAATAATTTTGGCCAGCAGCTCCGATATGGTTGAACTGAAAATAAATACAAAATCAAACAATTTTACAAAATTACAAAATTTCAAAATGACAAAATAAAAAAAAAAAGTTTCGCTAAAGAATGCCCAGCGAACAATAAAAAAAGTAGTATCATTCACAATATAGTCTTGAAAATCAAATATGCGTATTTGGTGTCTTGAATATCAAGTCCAGAATTATAAGAAAAGGGAATTGTTTTTATAAAATCAAATAAAATTGCACATGCAACGATATTTAGACATCCTGAATACCCATATTATTAAGAAAAGAAAAACATAAATTAAGTAAGTAACAGTTACTAAGCAGATTAAAATATATGAAGCAGCAAAATAAACTAGTTTCATCTGCACATTTTATTATATTGATAATGTCGGCAGAACCATTAACATTTCTGATGATAATTTGTAATGAGTCTCAAATTGGTACAGAGTGAGTTATATATTACTTGTAGGTATTTTCTGATGTAATATTCAGATACATAAAAAAACACTACAATCCGTTCTTGTGCACTATTCTTTAGAAATATTTGCTACATTTTACAACACTGATGTGTAAACTGAATGGAATAAATTTTAACGTGCTGACGAAAGGTTAAATACTATAAATATTTCGTGATGGGTGGTAATGGAAAGCAGATAAAGAGGAAGAGGATTTTTAATAAACAGGAGGAAGGCACTGAATTCGATTTGAGTAATAAATGTGCAAAACAGACTGATGTGTTCGAGAAAAGACTTATTATTGTACTGGAAGGTGCTCAGCTGGAAACAGTTAAGGTCTGTTGTTCTAAAAATTATTATTTCAAACATTAATAAATGTATACAGGCAGGAAAGACATTTGAACTATTAAATTGTGATGATCATGTTAGTATAATACGAAAGAATGGTAAAGATCTCGCATCATGCCGGCCTGATATTATTCATCAATGTTTACTTATGCTGTTTGATTCACCATTAAACCGCGCTGGATTATTACAAGTTTATATAAAAACTGAGCAAAATGTTCTAGTCGAAATTAATCCACAAACTCGCATTCCCCGAACATTTAAGCGTTTTGCTGGTCTTATGGTGCAGTTGCTTCAAAAATTTGCAGTTCGTGCAAATAACACCTCAACTAAATTAATGAAAGTTGTCAAAAACCCGATAACAGATCACTTGCCAGTCGGTTGCAAGAAATATGCTATGTCGTTTTCAGGAGAATTAATAAAAAATTGTCGCGATTTAGTACCGAACAATGAGCCCATTGTTTTAGTTATAGGCGGATTTGCTCATGGCGTTTTAAATTGTGATTACACAGAAGGTTTATTCTCAATAAGCAACTATCCACTTTCTGCAGCAATTACTTGTTCTAAAGTTTGTAATGCGTTTGAGGAAGTTTGGGGAATAGTTTAAAAAACAATGAATAATAAACTATTAATGTTCAAATTTATATACTAAGAAAAAATATAGCTAATATATGTATCAAAAGTTTTTCGCTTTATTTATTTCATTGAAATATAATAACACAATATATTTACAACGGTATATATGCATAAACTGATATTTATATTCATTTTGATTAAGAAACTACAAAATCTTGACATCACTGAAAATTGTTTTTATACAAAATCTTACTCCAAATTTTGATGCAAGTTGAATGTTAGTACCAGTCTTTAAATAAAAATTAGCGAAAAAAGATTAAGAATCGGATAGCAATCAAAGTAGTTTTATTACAAGTACAGAAACGAGTTAAGTAATAATACACGAGTTGCTTAAGATTTGCTATTGCTATCAAAAGCCTTTTTAGCATCGAGGGCTTTTTTGTCTGCTTCCCTCTTGGCTGCGGCTTCCATACGTTGCTGTCGAATTAAAGCAAGGCGTGCTAAATCTGCTTTTGCTTCACTTGTTTTACCAGCTGCGTGCAATTTTTCATAACGAATACGGGCTTTTTGTTTCTCAATTTGCTCGCGCTCCCGCCGTGTTAGTTCCGGCTTTGTATTCTTTTCCTCTGACATATTGTGTATTTTATGTGTACCTTTTTTTACTGAACGATTCGGATTTTCAATCTCTATTAAAGATGCTACACCTTTACGCTTATCACGTTCATCTTCAGAGTCCTCTGACTGATCACTTTCGTCCTCATCTTTTAAACTATGTTTATTTGGTTTACTAGGTCCAGCTACACCCTCATCGCCTGAAGTATTTTCTTCACTTAAGTCATTTTCCAGTAAATCTTCTGGGCTAGTGAAGTGTCTGCTACGCCCTTTGTGATTTACGTACTTTCCACGTGGCATTCCAAATTAAGTTAGCTTAAGTTAGAAATGTTAATTAATAAATTTCGTTGTATACTCCGTCCGAAAGTTTCGAGTGTGCCAATTAATTTGACATTTCAAATTTCGAACATGTAATTCGAAAATAGGTTTTTATTTTAATTTACTCACCAAAGAATACGTGTACAGGAACAGAAATTGTTTGCTTGCTTTACAGCACACTCACTCTGACTCATTTAGACGGTTTTGCTCAATACGGTAAATGATGAGAATGATTTACCATACAAAAATCTTTCATATAAATGAACTAATTATCAATAAATCATCTTATTTATGGCAAAAAACGTCGAATGCAATCCTTTAAAATGAATTTTCTAGAATGGAAATTACCAAAATTTGAAATGTGTTTTATATGTAAAATGTAAACAAACAATAGCTGAGCTGTATACAAAGGCACTGAGGAAGTAAGTATAAAATAAAATCTTTGTAATTAATTGAATATGTAATTGATATACAAAATGTGACCTATTACTAAATGAAATTTAATTTATAAAAGATGAATCAGTTGCATAAATGAGCTCATTATAATGTGTACGTTCACTCATTTATATAAATGCTCAAGTGCCTAAATGGGACAGAATGAATATACTATTGTGCTATGTTTAGATTGCTATCAAATCAATTTATATTAATGAACTTAAGATGTAGTCGTTTCCAAAGGCATAAGTTGATTTATACATGTGGAAGCGCTTTTATGTATCAGCAAGCTTCACGAGAGCATTTGTTTATTGACATTTCAATTGTTACCAGATGATATTTAGTTTTCTATTGTCAACAAAAATGAATTGATCATGGAAAACGCAAAAAATTCAAACAATTTTGTGTAAAGTTTAGGTGAAATTGTTCACAATATTTAGCCTTTTCTTTTGTAAGCATATCACAAAAGAACAACGGCTTATTTTCAAAATAACATGAAACTACAACACTGCTAGCTTATTTAGTCCAACCTTTTTGAAACCGCTTAACTAATAAGCAGCTGAAATCAAATGGTTACCAAAAATAAAAACTCGTCTATTGTGAACGTTTTCTGGAAGAACGTACAAAATTTTCATTTAACTGTCAACAAATATTTGACAAATAGTTCTCAATTGTTAGTTCACAATTGTTTACTCAAATTAAAAAATTATATTCAATGCTTGAAAAAGCCTGAAAATACAAATTTTATTTATATTAATGTAAAAATTAAAATATTTTTACTTACACTTGCAAAGAATTATTATTAACTTTCTAAACTTTAACTTTAAATTTTTTTAACCATTTTCTGATTCACAATTTCTTAATTACGTCTTACTCATTTGCATAGGTAGGTGTGACCGCTATTTTAAAATTAAACTCGGTATCTGATTCTTTATTAATTTCATTATCACTACAAGAAGTTTCACTTTTTGATGATATCGGCAATAACACAGTTTCTAATTAAAATGTTACAATAATTTAATTTCTTTTCTGGGAGATCAAACAAGGAATACTTACTTAATTCTTTAATTTGCCGAATGCAGCGTTTTCTTCTTTGTAAATATATTTGAATTCTTTCTCCACTTCTTGTTTCTTTCGAGTTTCTTCTTACTTGACCCTGCCGCTAATGATTTATTAAAAAGTTCTTATCGTCTTCTATTGTTATCATCTCAAGCGCATTTGCGTGTGCCAAATTGAATAATACCTCTAATCGTTTTGTGAATTCTGATTCTTTTTGATGGTCTCGTAAGTTTTTTCTATTAACATATTTTTGCAACCTCACCATTTTTGGTATAGGTTTTCTAATTTATTTATGCAATGTTTTTGTTTTTTATTGGTATTGGTGCCTTAGGCGAAAATATGATAACTTCTTGCATAGTTAATGTAGAACTTTTCCTTAACGGTAACTTAATCAATAAGATATATATTTTCACGCAAATTTAAAGAAATCATCTCGGTAACACTTCTTAAAGTGATCACTTTGAATTATTTTACAGTAATGAATTATAGCAGTTGAGAGTTTAAAAAGACTACCGTTATACCGTTATTGACACAGACAGGTGACAAAAATTCACTTCGTATTCCCATGAATAACACAGAAACATATTTATGTATATAAAATCTAGATGTAAAACTTTATTTTGTAGCAAATTTAGTAAACAACATACAGTCATGCGGGCAAATGTATTCATAGAATTTACTTGAATTCAATCGGGTGATTTCAGCTAATTTTTTCTTTTATTCAGTAATTATTAGAAATACAGAAAAACTTTGAATGAGTAAATTGCTTATTTTCACTAGATCTATAATTTTAGGCAGACAGTTTTTATGTAAAATTAAATATGTCGGTGATATAAGAAATCAAATATAAATTTCATGGAAAAAATGGTTATTTTCCAAACTTTGGGGCTGTTTAGGCGCCATTTCCACTTATCCAATTGAACTAAAATTTTACACAGTTTAATTTTTTAGTAAAATGAACCGATCTGGGATATGCCGTCAACTGATTTTTCGAAAAAAGAATTGTCCATATACCTTAATGGCACCCTAAGGTATATATAGAAAATTCTTTGAAATGCTCTGAAAAAATTTAATAATTATTAATAAAAAGCAATTAACATTATTTTCGTCAACAACTTTGAGAAAACGGTGGAATAGCTGAACTTTTATTAGTATGTGCAGTAAATATTATTAAATAAAATATAATGTCTGGATGATATGCTTTTTTTGATAATTTTATTATAAATTTATTTTTATATATTTTAATATATCAATTATATATTATATTGATAAAAAAACAAACATTTAAAAAAAAATTTTATTTTGACCTGTTTGTTTTTAGTTTTTTACACTGTACCGACATTTTTTGGCTCTATTTATATTTATAGCTATTTATACCAGGGTTTGTTATAAGAATTAAATAAATAAAAGAGACACTACTGCCTTGTGTTTGTATTTTAGTAGTCTTTATTATTGTTTTTTTTTTCTTGAGTTAAATTTTCAAATAGCGTAGAACCTTCAGTGTGAATGTTGAAGCGACTGGAACCGAAGTAGTGTTTAGCGTAGAACCTTCAGTATGAACGTTAAAGTGACTAGAACTGAAATAGTATTTAACATAAAACTTTCAATTGTGTAAATTTCAACTAACGTGTAGGAAAGATCAGAATAGTAAAAAGTTGCTAAAGATTTAATGAAAACCTTAGTCAACTATAGCCAGGCAAAGATCTCATCCACAAAGCTATACTCAAACCAATCTGGACATATGACATTGAACTCTGGGGAACTGCTGCATCTTCAAATATTGAGATTATCCAACGTTTTCAATCAAAAATCCTTAGATTAATCTTAAATGTTCCTAGATATTTATAATGAATGTATACATCGCGATCTCAACATTCTCGCAGTTAAACATCTTATAAAAAGCCAAGCCAGTAAACACAAAAAACGTATGTTACATCATCACAACTAGTTTATGAACTGAATGATAGCAGAAGGAAGAATGTTCACATGCCTCCGCAAAAAAACGCCACGGAAATTTTAATGTGTTCGGCTTCAACAGACAGATGAGCTACTGATCACAGTCCATTCAAGCTTACAAAAATTGTAAGTATTTAGTCATTTTTAAATATTGTTTATTGTCTATTTCGAATTGACAGATCGCAATATAAGAAAATAAATTAAAAAAAATAAAAACTTTCTTGTGAAGAATCCATTAATTTCAATCTCGAACAGTTGTGGAAATTAGATGAAATCACTTCTGCACCTGATTTCACAATATTTGTCGCTTACACCGACAGCGCGCGCGAAATGTGATCACTCCGAAACTTTTGTCTTTTTTTGTTTAAATTCAAGTTTCAAAGTTATGATCATTTGAACGATAGACCATAAATAAAAGGAATCTGTGAAAAACAGTGTCAGTGGACGGTGTAAATCAATTTTTTGTAAATATAAAAAATTTGTTAAACAAATTAAATTTTAAGTTTGCAAAAAATAATAAAACCAAAACAAGAAAAGTGAGTTTTGCTCAGCTGATAGAGACAGCAAATGATCTTTTCTTTTAACGAAAGTAAGAAATTATAATTGTGTTGTTGCCACACTGTAATTTTCAAGTATTAAATATAAATACATAAATAAATTTTATTTATTTTTTTCAAGTATCTTATTAAAAATAAAATAAAATAAACTTACATAAAAATAAATAAATTTAAATAAAATAAATAAATTTAAATAATTAAAATATAATTAAATAAACTAACTGTAAAAATATTGTAAATCCATTGTATGAGCGATTGCGAGTAAAAGTGAGTAAGAGTTTAACCTTCTACTTCTGATTCTTACGTAAGCATTGTAACACAGTTGGAGCTCAAAAACACTGAATTTTACACTTACAAACCAAAAACCGAAAAAAGTTTTATGGTCATATTAAAAAATTTGCATCATTCAACCGATATTGATGAAATCAAAAATGCACTTCTGGCGCAAGAACATACGGCTGTAAACGTTTGGAATATTAGGGTCAGGAGAACCCTTTCCCATGTTTATTATTGAACTTGCACCAAACGTAAACAATAAGGATATTTATTTGGTTAAGAAACTTTTGTATACTACCACCTCACCTGAAACGTGAAATCCCTCAATGTGCAAACTGCCAGCAGTGTGGGCACATAAAAGGATACTGTCACCGCAAACCCAACTGTATCATATGCGCAGGAAACCATGCATCTGTAAATTGCGAAAGGAAAAGCAGATCCAATGATTTCAAATGAGTTTTATGTAAGGGAAATCATCCGGCCTAAAGATGTCGCAAACGATGTCAAATATACAAAAACCTGGAAAAAAATGTATCCCCAATTGAGGCCTAGGGCGGCGCATGTGCAAATTCTAGAAAATCCTCTTCCTTCTTTAAACAAAAATCACATTACGAATTTTCATTCATCACAAACATTCGCACAAATAGTGAAGTCAGACACCAGTAGCGCAACAGAGGAGAAGCTTTCACTAATTCGAAATAATTTTGTGGAAGAATTTCGTGAGATGACATCGCTTTTGAAGCAAATGATGCAACAAATCGTAGTAATGACAAATTTACTGATCAACTTGACGACTAAACAAAATTCT